ACTATGGGGCCTATGGGTAGCTTCGACTACTCACAATGCTAAGACAACTATTTGCGTATTGGCTGAATCGTTTCGGGTTTAGCGGTTTAGGGTGTTCAAATTAGGGCCTCTTTTGGGCTCCCAAGCCATAGGGTGCCGTGTTGAGAGTAGAATTTTAGATCGGATTTTCGGAAGGGACCATGGTACTACGTAGCTAACTGGGCTGCTAGTGGACAATGCTTCCAGGTAGCCAAATCGTGATGCTGACACCAGCGGATCGGAATGTGGCCTGCAACTGCGGACAGGCTCCTGAAGGAACATCCGTTCTCAAAGCCGAAGTCTCGGAACATCTCGGCGCGGGGTGGTAGCCACTTTAAGTTAAGGTCGAATGTCGTGATCTCTTTCTAGTCAAGCACAGCGGTGGCATGGTGTGTCAACAGCACTCCTTCGTCCCGCGGCTTTTCGAGGTCGGGGAACACCACAACCACCTCTGCGGGAAATGTGTCTTGGGACGATAGCTTGGCTGTTTTCAACCAACATGCTCTGTCTACTGTCTCCATGCTACAGGTCTCAGACAGTGCTAGCAGGACGTCCTCAAACGCTCCATTTCGCAAAAGAACCGCACTGGCTCATCCTGCATCCCAAGCCACATCTCGGCTGCCCTCATAAATGGCCTTGACTGGGCCGACTCCGGCGGGCGTTTTAACGAGCCACCGGTGGGTTGAACAACTCTCTCGTTCTGGTAGGGGTTNNGGGTTTAGGGTTTAGGGTTGGTCTCTCGGTAGCGCCTTCATCGGGTTCACTTCTTCTTCGCCTTCGACCTAGCGGTTGAGTCTATTCTGCATACGCCCAAGCCCTCTGGGTAGACGTTTTTCTATGAAATCCAACAGAGCCCTTACGAAACCCAACCCAAGACCCTAAACCCTACGAGCCCCTACAACCTAAAACCCTAAACCAAGCTCAAAGCCCCATGAAAGCGTGCCAGACCTCCAAGGATTCGAGCTCGGCCTTTTGCTCACAGTTGCACATGGGGATGCGGCGACTAGGACTCCTAGGCTCAATACTTTTGAGCTCTTCTGAACTGTGACTCGTCGCATGCTGCACAAACGTGCTTGCCTGGAGCTGGCTGCAGGACTCACAGAGGAGATGTGAAATGATGGGCTTGGAGATTAGGGCTTAAGTTTCGGGTCTAGGTCTATAGAGTCTAGAGTCTAAGGCCCAGGGCTTAGGATTTAGGGTGTGGCTTGGGAACTTTGCATGTGACTTCAGAGTGTTAGGTCGTACAGCTCCCGGATTTCTGGTCGAGTGCAGGCTTGCTTAAGGCTTAGGGTTTAGGGCTTA